GGGTGAAATGACAACATTCAGTTACAGTTCTACAATGGCCTAATCCTCATAAAAATTCCCCAGGCATATGTAACACTAAACGCTTTGTAGGAGCTCTGGTAGCATAGTGCCTAAGGCACTTGACTGTTAACCAGAAGGCTGGCAGTTCAAACCCACCAGCCACTCCTCGGAAGGACAGTTGGGTGATCTACTTCTGTAGTGATATTGCCTCGGAGACCAAAGGAGAAGTCACTATGAGTCGGGTCCGACTCAATGACCCATAACAACAACAACAAACACTTTTTAATAAAGCCATCCTTGCTTTAACTGAGTCGCTTTTTAGGAGAAATCAACTTGCTTGGCACCAGAGTGCTACAGTCATTTTATCACCCAAAGGACTTTGGTTAGCAACAAGTGTTGAAGTATTAACCTATTAGGAAATGATACACGATGTGGTCAAGATGAAAATGCCTGTATTTGGTTTGGTAGAAGTGGTGAGTGTAGGGAATTCAGAGTTACCTAAAGTATCATAGCCTAATTTAACAATCCTTGGACCTCACATGAGCTCAAAAGAGTCAGTTAACAAACCAAACCAAACCCACTGCCATTGAGTCAATTCTGACTCATAGCGACCGCATAGGACAAAGAAGAACTGCCCCACAGGGTTTTCAAGGCTGTAAATCTTTACAGAAGCAGACTGCCTCATCCTCCTGTGCAGCAGCTGGTGGGTTTGAACCACCAATCTTTTGGTTAGTAGCTAACTGCTTTGACCAATGTGCCACCAAGAGCTCCTCAGTTAACAAAGCAGAGAAATATTTTTTTTTTAAATAACTGTTAGATGCCATGCAGGTGATTCCAACTCACAGCCCCATACGGTTTCCAAGGCTGTATTCTTTATGGCAGCAGACTGTCAGGTCTTTTCTCCTGGGGCAATCTACTTCCATAGTGATACTGCCTCGGAAACCCAAGGAGGGGTTGCTATCAGTCTGGTCCGACTGACTCAACGGCACATAACAACAACAACAACAACAACATCACACAAGTAGAACTTGAAAAACAGGGAGAACTGGTAAAGAAGTAGGAAAAAAAGTACCAGGAATAAAATGATTTGTAATTATTAATAAAATAAATGATTACTTTCTTGATATCTAAGAGGTAAGCTCCTATTTGGTAGTGGTTTTCAGAATTTAGTACAGAAGAATATAAATATAACCTGATGCTTAGCTATCTAGACCTAAAGGAAAAAGACTTTTCTGGGCATACAAAAAAAATCTGTGCCTGGAAATCACAGCCCTTCCATTTCTGCCCTTCCATTCTCCTATACTTACCTTTTCTCCTTTCCTTAAGTCCCAGATGAAAACATGCTCACAGGCTGGTACTGCCACGTAGCGTCCTTTCTCACCACGAAGCGTCACAAAGACAATATTACCTTTTTGGCTGCCAATCAGGCCAAAGACTGCACTGGCAACATAGCGTAGATACTGCTTAGTAAGCCCCATGTTACGATGTCTGATACCACACGTGAGGCAATCTGTGCATGCGAACAAGGAAAACTTAATTCTTTGGGTACAGTGGTTCAGTTATACCAGAGAACACAAACTGTTTACTATGTGATTAAAAGCATATCAACTTGCGGCTTCTCAACCTTTATCTGCTGTGAATAAATCACTGGCATAAAATACACGGGCATTTTCATTTTTCATCCACTGCGGACTCAAATGTAATTTTCCATTCCCCAAACTTCAAAGTGGTTACACTGTCATGTCTACCTCACCAAAATCTGACATTACTGCTTCAATGCAACTAAACAACTCACTTCTGCCTACCCAACCACTATCAGTCTTCACACTGAAATTGGCAACTTGTGACTAAAAATATTTATCAATGAATATTTACTGTTAACCTACCAATATGACAGGCACTAAAGATACGGTGCTAAACATAGAAGGCGGTTCAAACCCACCAGCCACTCCTCGAAAGAGGGTTGGGCATTCCTACTTCCATAGTGATGTTATTGTTGTTGTTGTTATGTGCCGTTGAGTCAGCCCCGACTCATAGCGACCCCTTCTTGGGTTTCCGAGGCAGTATCACTACGGAAGTAGGATTGCCCAACCTTCCTTCCCCTCTGCCTTGAGCATGATGCCCAGGCCACAGAAGGTCCGTGTGCAGTTCTCCGTGGGCAGTGTTTGGCTGACACTTACGTTCCTTTCATTTAGCCTTGTCTGAGGTGGCATGTCCTTCTAACGGGACACTGATGGAGGGATCAAATATTACTGCCTCGAAAACCCAACGAGGGGTCGCTATGAGTCAGGGCCGACTTGATGGCAAATAACAACAACAAACAACAAAGATATGGTATTAAGACAAAACCGCTGACCTCGTGGAGCTTACCTTCTAATACTGTAAACCCAAACCCAATGCCATTGAGTTGATTCTGATTCATAGCAACTCTGTAAGACAGAGTAGAACTGCTCTATATGGCTTGCTGTTGTTATGTGCCGTTGAGTCGGACCCGACTCATAGCTACCCCTCCTTGGGTTTCCCAGCCTTCTGGTTAGCAGTCAAGTGCCTTAGGCACTATGCTACCAGAGCTCCCCCTATATGGCTTACAAGGCTTTAAATCTTTACAGAAACATACTGCCACACCTTTCTCCCATAGAGAGGCTGGTGAGTTTGAACTGCTGACCTTTCAGTTAGTAGCTGAGCACCTTAACCATTGAGCCACCAAGGCTCCTCCTTCTAGCACAGTGGTTCTCAAACCCTAGCTTGCATCCAAATTACTTGGAGGTCTTATGAAAACACAGCTTGCTGCCTCCTCCGTTTCTGACCCAGCAAGTCAAAGACAGAGGAGCCCATGTAGTGTAGTGGTTAAGCCCTCAGCTGCAAATTGAAAGGTTGGCAGTTCGAACCTACAGCTGCTCTGAGAGAGAAAGATGTGGCAGTCTGCTCCCCTAAAGATATACAACTCTGGAAACCCAAGGGGCAGTTCTGTACTGTCCTATGGAGTTGCTATGAGTCAGAATCAACTCAATGGCAATGGGATTAAGGTTTAAGTCTGAGGTTGTTGTGTTGTTACTGTTATGTGCCGTGGAGTCGGACTCAACTCACAGCGATCCCTCCTTGGGTTTCCGAGGCAGTAGAGCACACAATTTTCCATTCTAACAAGTTGCTAAGTATGGTCTCTGGACAACACTTTAAGAACTACTGTTTGGGGTAATGAAAAAGTTTTGGACATTGATAGTGGTGATGGTTGCACAGCATGGTAAACATACTGTTACTGAACTATACAAATAAAAGTGGTCTAAAATGGTAAATTCTTTGTTACACATATTTTTTTTACCACAATTACATTTACATGTATAAACCCAAGGAGGGGTCGCTATGAGTCGGGTCCGACTAGATGGCACATAACAACAACAACAACATAGTAAAATGTACAGAAAAAAATAAAACACCTATAAATAGTAATAAAAAGAACTACTGCTCTAATACATGCAGGTCTGTCTCTGATTCCAAAATCTGAGCAGTCACTTTTCCTTGGCACAAAAAAAAAAAATGGTAGGGCAATTCAGCACACTATTTTTGAAAGATGTCAGAGTTCCTGCACTATATCAGACTGACTGAAAACATTGGCTATGGATAAAAGAGACAACAAGATGAAGCAGATTAGTCAAGGCTGCCTGCTTTACACATGGAAGAATTAAAAGTACCCCCCCCAAAATTCACATAACTTTAAAAAAACACTGTATGAAACTGAAGTTACAGGTTTTTTGAATGGTTTGTTGTTGTTTTCGTTTGGCTGATTTTATCCTACAGGGTCTCTTTTCTATAATATAACAGAAAAAAATATTCAATCCTATCTCTCTGCTAATATTTTCCGTTAATACTTACTTACTGGCCTTCTTTTTCTTCTCGTAGAAACCAACTAAAGCCAGTTAAAAATCAAGAAAAGGGAATATTAACATAATGATAATGCTCTTAAACTAAGCTGGTTCATTAATTCCGTCCCAATTTGTCTTATTCTTCTAGCCCCTTAACGAAAACTGTTCCTCCAATCAGACTTTGGCCACTTACTATCTCCTTTCCAGTATTTTATACTGCACTGGTCACTTTTGCTTCGCGTGCCCTGATCTTGACGCCTTATGGAGAGTTCACGACCCAACCTTCCTCCAAGCTTACCTATCATCCGCGCATCCTAACCCAGTAAAAAAGACCAAACCCGTTTCCGTGCATTCCGACTCACAGAGACCCTATAAGGCAGAATAAAACAGCCCCGTAGAGATTCTAAGGCTGTAATCTTTATGGAAGCAGATTGCCACGTCTTGCCACATCTTTCTCCCGCGGAGCGGCTGGTTGCTGGATTTGAAATGCCGACATTTTGGTTGGCAGCCAAGCGCTTAACCACTGCGCAACCAGGACATCCTCTCCTAACCCACCGTCCCCCAAAACGCATTGTTTCCGTGCGCTGAAGGGCTGGGCCGCTATTAACAGACCTGTCAGACGTTCCTAAACTGAGTGTATTCCGTAAGAAGTGGATGAGAGTGGTTCCGCACTCGGAGCATACCGCTGGAGATTTCTTGCCGTGCAGAGGCAACCATCAGCGCGCCGCCGGCTCTGGCAGCTATACCCGGCACGCGCCAATCCCGGGACAGTCTACGATGGGGACGTCCACAGTAGCCTGGTATTTCACCATCCTAGCGACCGCCTGGCGGTCGCTCACACCACAAAGCCTCAACCAGGACCAGCCAAAGCCGATCCGCACAGCAAGTACGCTAAGTCCCCAACAACCCCAGGACTCACCTCGCCCTCCACGAGGTTCCGGAGCCAAATGCTACCACACACCAGATCCGCCCCTTCCGGGTCCGCTCCTAGAACCCCCTTCCGCCCGACGTTCCCTTTGCCTTCTAGGAGGAAATGACGGAGGAAGCCGTGTCTCATTCGTGAAAGCCGATCAGGAGCGGAAGCCGGTGTTTCGCAGCCCAGAGATTTTGCTGCTAGTCACTCCTGCCTCTGTCGAGTTTGACTCGCATTACCGGCCGCGCTCCTGGAGAGCGTTGTCCTGGGATGCCTCTCGGCCACCTTCTACGGGGAGCTTAAACCGCCCCGCCAGCTGCCCGGATGGGAACGCCAAAGTGCTGTGAGAGGCGGGACGGGGGGTGGGTGGGAGGGAAGGCGGGGCAGAACGGGCGGGGGGTGCGGCTGGGCGCGCACGGGACACGGCCGGGGCACAGAGTGCGGGCATAGAGGCTTAGTTCGGTCTGTTCTCTGAGAGTATGAGCCTGGCGCTTCTTTTTTGGCTTGTGGTTGGATTCCTCTCGCCCGAAGTGCTGTGGGGAACGACGTGTAGACGAGAAGAGCGGGTGTGCAGACCTGGTACAAGGGGCAGTGGTGCAGTATCTGAGGAGGCGCGCGCTCTCGGACGCAGGTGAAATAGGGTGGTCAGAAGCCCTGTCAGTTGTAGTGAGGGTAGTTCACCAAATTCTAATCCATGCTACCGTCCCTGTTGACTGGACGCTTCACGAACCGAGAACAGCTCGGATCAAGGCTGGGTAGGCGCTGAGCCCGGGATGCTGAGTTGGCTAGGTCTCCGCATTCCCTGGACTGACATTGGCCTGGCTTTGTGTTTCCACTCACTGGCCTCTTGGAGGAGAAGTGACCAAGTCTGATTTCTCCGTGGTTGGTGACTGAGGCTCAGATGCTCTATCACCAGGTGGGAATTAAGTTTTTCTCCCTTGCAGTTTTGCTCACTTTTATTCTTGGACTGCATAAAAGTGTTTAGAAATGAGTTATGTTGTTTATAGTTGTGGGAAATTATGCCTGTGCAAAAGAAGTAACTCCTTGCCTTCGCTTATTGAACAACACATTCTCAGCCAGCCTAGAAATCAGCCTTAAAGAATATGTCTTTTATCAATATTATTTTATTTTCTTCCGGTATTTCTAAGCAGCTCTGGTGGCGCTGTGCTTAAAGCATTGGGCAGCTGACCAAAAGAAACGTGGTTTGAACCCACCAGCTGCTCCCGGGAAGAAAGATTAAGAAAGCTGCTTCTGGAAAGATTTACAGCCTTGGAAACCCTATAGGGCCGGTCCTGCTCTGTCCTATTGGGTCGTTATAAGGTGGAATTTATTCCATAGCAGTGAGTTTGTTTTTTCCAGTGTTTCTTGAGTCGATATGTTCAGCTAGTATTCCATATTAAAAAGAATTGCAGTAGGAGGGGATGGATATAATGAGACTGGATAGCTGTAGTGGTATAAATATTTTGCAGCAAGATCACAGTGGCTTGATAAATGAAGAAGAAACTTGGGAGGTGGCAGACTATTCTTTCAAATTTGGGGGGGGGAGAGAGCATGTGGATGTGTATGATTAATATCTCTTCTAGGTGATATGTATTAGAATATCGTATGTGAGAAAAAAATGTATGCTCAGTGGAAAATTACATAGTCTAGATTCTATCTGGATGACGCCTCTTGAACTATCTGATTCTATGAAAGCTAATTTACAACTGTAGATAACGGATACCATTGCTAAATAATTTTTGTCTGTAGACATGCAGAGGAGTTCTGGTGATATTGTGGTTAAGGCATTCAGCTTAACCGAAAGGTTGACAGATTTAACCTACCAGTGACTCCACTGAAAAAAGATGTGGCAGTCTGCTTGCATAAAGATTGCAGTCTTTGAAACCATATGGGGAAGTTCTACTGTGCCCTATAGGGTCATTATGAGTCTGAACCAGGTGTCAGTGAGTTTGACTTTTGGCTTTATAGACATATAAAGTCTGTCCTATTCCGTAGAAGTTCAATTGAAGATTCAATTGACTTTCCTTTCCTCCTGTGGAACCCAGTTTTGCCTCCTTTTTGCACATTGATTTCAATATTCCTAATCTATTATTGCATCTGTTCTTGGTGTTTCCTTTATCCTATCATAGTTCGGCTCTGGTGGTGCAGTGCCTAAGGCATTTGACTGCTAACCAGAAGGCTGGTGGTTCAAAGCCACCAGCCACTCTGCAGAAGGAAGGTTGGGCATTCTACTTCCATAGTGATACTGCCTCAGAAACCTAAGGAGGGGTTACTATGAGTCGGATCCGACTCGATGACAGTGTGTTTGGTTTGGTTTGGATGGTTGGCCTTATAAATGTTTTAGTTATATCTGTATTTATCATTGACATAAACTTTTATTTGTTTTTCCATCTAAGCCGTTAAAAAAAAAATGCCGTTCTTTATGCAAATGGTTCCATACCATCATTCTTAAGTTTAATAGGTTTGGTGTTGAGGTGGAAGTTATTGTTAGCTGCCTTCTGTTAGTCCACAGGAGCTCTGGTGGTGTAGTGCCTAAGGCATTTGACTGCTAACCAGAAGGCTGGGGGTTCAAACCCACCAGCCACTCCTCGGAAGGAAGATTGGGCAATTTATTTCCATAGAGATACTGCCTTAGAAACCCAAGGAGGGGTTACTATGAGTCGAGATTGACTCGACGGCATTGAGTTTGGGTTTTTTTTTTTTTTTTTTGGAGTGAGCTTCCAACTCATAGCAACCCCATGCACAATTGAAATGCCACCTGGTCCTGCTTTATGCCCATGATCAGTTACAGACCTGGACCATTGTGATCCATAGGGTTGAAACTAGCTGATTTTCTGAAGTAGATCTCCAGGCTTTTCTTCTTAGTGTATCTTACTCTGGAAGGCAGGGGGAGGTAGTATTCTAATGCATACTGAACAAAGACATGGAGAATGGTAAACCTGTCATTTACTCAAAAGCAATGAGATAGAACCATTAATTACGAGTCAAGTGTATGGGCCATCTTCCTTTTATCTTGGCCTGAGTAGTCAGTGTAAGCATTTTGAAGAAAATGTAAGCAGCTTATAAGTTCCTGTTTTTCTCTTTTAAATGGTACCATTTTCTTTCAATCCTAATAAAAATTAGTTACTTTTTTTAAAAGACAGTGATCCTAAGCATACTGCCTGATTCTTCCCAGTCTTGGAAAATAAAATCTGATTATCTCTAAACAATCCAATTATTTATGTAAAGTAATACTTAGAGAACTCTTTAAACTAAACGGTGACAAGATTTGTTTAAAATGACAGACATTACATTATAGTAAGAACTGTTTATATTCATTATGCATGTATAATAAGTTATCTTTGTCTTTGGGTCCTCTTCCTTTTAGTTACTGAGGATTACCCTTGAGGTAGTATGTCTAAGGAGGTTGATCAGATCCATTCTGAAATCTGTTTGTTGTAGATTTTTTTGATACTGGGACATTTAAGTCTTGCTTTAGGGGCCTTTTTCACTGAGTCTTACTGTTTGCTTATGAGCCTATTCGTAGTATAGAACTGAATGTTATCAATTGATTTTCAGTGCAAAGTCTTATTCTCCTTTAATGTTAATAAAATTCTGCCTACAACTATAAATTATAGAGCCCTGGTAGCGCAGTGGTTAAGCCCTCCACTGCTAACTGATAGATTGGTGGTTTGAATCCACCAGCCACACCATGGGAAAGAAGATGTGGCAGTCTGTTTCCATAAGGATTACAGTCTGGGAAACTTGATGAAGCAGTTCTGTTCTGTCCTATAGGGTCACTATATGTCAGAATGGACTTGAAGGCAAACTTGTTTTGTTTTATAGTTGTAGGTTACTGTAGGTCTCCCTACCCTGCACTCTGTTTAAACCAATTCTATGACTAAAATTCTTAATCTCAGTCTGAGAACCCTCAATTTATTTGCAAACCTGTGTTTGTATGAGCTTGTGCATACATATTATGGGACATAAAAGGGTCTTTGTCTTTTATGTGATTTGCAGAGGTATCTGTGACCCCAGAGAATTTTCAAAACCACCATTGGCATTGGGATCAGGTTTTTCTGCCTACCTTGGCTTTGCTGCTGCTCCATTTGCTTTATTGGCAGGGTCTGTGCCTTTGGGGAGAAGAACCAAAAAAATCAAACCCATTGTCATCCGGTCAATTCTGATGCATAGCGACCCTATAGGACAGAGTAGAACTGCCTCATAGGATTTCTAGGGCTGTAAATCTTTATGGAAGCAGACTGCCTCATCTTTGACCCATGGAGCTACTGGTGGGTTTCTTTTTGGTGAGAAAAAGCAATTTCTGTTTAGAGACGGAACTGGGGGAAAAAAGTCAGCTGTTGTTCATTGCTATGACTTTTTCTGTATAATGCCATTAAACGCTACCCTGCAATAAGTGTTATAAGCATTACTTAGTAATCTTTTCACACCCAGTATCTTGTGGGTCACAATGACTTGAGGTCTAGGAAGAAGATCCAACAAAGTATACTGAGAAGGTGTGAGCAGAGATACAGGAGAACCACCAGAGTGTCCCATGAAAGAAGATATAATAGAGTTTCAAGGAGAGCATGAACAACTTTAAATGTAACTCAGATTTCATTAGCTCTTGAATTTGACAATTGGGAAGTTATTGTTGACCTCAGAAGAGCAGTTTTAGCATTGTTACAGAGACGGAAGCAAAACTGCAGAAGATTGGATAAATGAAGAGGAAGTAGAGCTATAAAACACATTACTTTAAAAATTTAAGTGGTGAAGAAGAGGAGTTTGGTTGCTATTCTGAAGAAGAAAAAAAAATGCTGTAGGAAACATTTTTTAAAATAGGAGGACTACAGGGAAGGAACCAGTGGAGTTGGAGAGCTCAAATGTTGGGAAGGAATAGTTGATGTTCTTATATTCTCTTAAAGGATGTCTGGTGAAGTGAATTAACATGCTTAGGTGAAATAGAGTGTTTTGGTGGACTTGAAAGTGTGGAATCCATCCTTAAGTCACTTGGAATTTGAAAATAGATTTAGAATTAAAGGGAAGTTAACTTGAACTATTACCTCTGCTTTCTCAGAACAGCATGAAGAGGAGAGGCAGTGTAATATGATGTAGTCCATGGGTTTTAGTGCCAGCTGGGATTTGGATCTCAGGATGACCACATACTGGTGTGTTACACAACCAATTATTGAACCTCTAGGTCTTGATGCCCTCAGTGTAACATAAGAGTTCTACTTTGTGGGATTTTTGGAAAAATTGCAAATCATAGTTGCAACATATCTAAAACGCCATGGCTTGCTATAGCTACTACATTGGACTTCTTCCAGTTCGTTTAGTATCCTAGGCTGTTTCCTACCTTAATAC